AGAGTGCATAGTCATCCCCTCTCACTCTGCGTCTGATAGCGTTAACGCTGCTTGCAATCCCTGCTATTTACACACTATTACTGGGAATCATTTTTCAGGACCTCAGGGGGTCAATTTACAAACTCGCAAAGCACGTCGGGAAGGATCTACCTCATGACGTCATCGATGCCATTATGGAGCGTGTGACCTTTGACGCAATGCAGAGGACCTACCAACAGCTGGAGGAAGAGGGTGGGAAGGAAGGGGAACTGATGGTGCGTTATAAGGGACGCCCAATCATAAGGAAAGGTAAAATACAGCAAGGAAAGAAATTTGGCAAGGTGTCCGAAATTGAGGTTGGTCTATTTCCTGCTTTACCTGAATATCTCAAGTTACCCTCGGAGTATAAGTTCAAAGTCTTTTTTCACTTAATGGACGGTTTTATTAAGTGAGTCTCCTTAACGATTAGTTGGGCTGCTTTGGCCCGCGAAAGCAAAACCAACCATGTGAACCGTTTACTTAAATCGCAGTTAGGCTGCTGTATGGACAGTATAGAAGTTGAAAAAATGAGATTGTAGAGAGCCGTTAATGAACAATTTCATCTAGCAAGCTGTCACAGCACCTTTGATCAGTTCGACTGTCATTTTCAAAACAGGACAAGTCGGCGATTGGAAGAACAACTTTACGGTGGCAGATAGCGCCCTCTTCGACAAGATCTACGCCCTGGGAATGGAAGGGACCGGCTTGGACTTTGACTTTGAGCTTTGAGACGTCAGGAAATCAGTCTGATATTTTCTGTTGTTGACTAGTTGCTGTCAACCGGCATGTATTTGCAGTTTATATAAGCAAAATGGGTTTCATTTCAGAAAATGTTCTGCCCAGAGTAGATTACGAGTAATTTACCATAAGTCCGAGTACGTGTACGCTTTTTTTCTTGTGAGTACGAATAATACGAGTACTACCTGACGTGCTCTGACTACATGAGCGTACTATTTGGAAAGCAGGAAGAGATTAAAAAAAAAAACATTATATGGGTACTTTTAATGAAGCAAATTCGTAAAATTTATACACAGTGAAATCAGTCAGCATATCAATATATGAAACTTAGGGTGATGGAGTAAAAATTGTTGTACGAAAAGGAATGTTTGCTTTGCAAGAGAAGATACGCTCTTCATTAAAACTGAATATCAGAGAGAAACTTTGCTATCACTTGGTAAATGTGTTCACAAGATAAACTTGTACGATGTACGCTGTGGATGTACGATTCTTAAACATTCATGTCTTGCTAGTCGCTGAACACTAATTAAGTATGTCCACATGGGACGATTAGCGAGAGTTAGAAAAAGTGTGTAATTGCTAAACAGTTTTGGCAGAATAAAGAAAGAATTAAAAATCATCCATTTTGTTGCATTGACTTTAGATCTGTTTCTACAAGAAAGTCGCAGGGATACTGCAATATAGATAAGCACTGTCAGTTGCGCCCTCTTTGGGCAACTGAAAGACCTTCAACAGTTACTTCAAATCCTCGTCGTATAAATCAAAGGAAATAAAGCTCATGAATAAATTACCATAGATACCCTTATACTTTTTACTTCACCTTATGTGAGAAACCCCCCAATCCCTGTTTATCTGTCATTTATTGTCACTTTATCATCTGATACTGGAAATGTTACTGCTAAATCACCGACACAAAAGACTTACGGGAACAGATCTGCCTTGTGTGGAAGTGACGCATGGAATTCATATTCATATGCTCATGAATATGGACACTGCAGGATTTGAAATTTCTCGCTTTTACTGCTACAAAGAGGGTGTTAATAAACTTTAAGCATTAAATTTTGAATAGATCTACGTGCTTCATGTATTCAAATCATAAAATCCAATTACGTCAGTCCTGTAGGAGAAGTAGAAAGCTGCACAAAAAAGTTTTGGAGTGAAATTTGCATCGTGGACCTTTAACTTGTTCGTGTGAGTTGTTAAGATGTCGTCATGAATGCGTAATTTCTTCGACTCAGTAATCCAGGTCATTCTTGTGGGTCAATCTTGATTTACTACATTGTATGATAAATGGAGAACGGGGCAAGCTTCCAGTTTTAAAACGTCATTCACCCCCTGTATGGTTGGTTTATATATTGACGGTATTCGTTTTACACTTATGATTATGCCCCTGCTTCACGTTCCTTCCCACACCAAATTTTGAACTAATGCACTCTAAATTCCAAAGGTGAAAATTCGAGTGATTAAATTCACCCTCCGTTTTCGACGTAAACAAGGGGCAAGTTGAATTTGAGTGAATTTCATCACTCCAATTAGGCATATCATTCGAAATTTCACTCCAGTTCCTACTGCAATTGGTTCCTTTTCATTGCAGTCCACGTTTAGAATTTTACGCAGACACACCACTTGGCTTGGCCACAATCATGCTGTGAAAGTTTGAGCCTGGGATGCTATCATTCGTCGATTATGCATGAGCTGTGTGTACGTTCCCCCAACTAATGCAGTCCACTTATTGAAATCTACTATAATTTCAGGTTTTAGTGCATCCATCGAATGCGAACATTGTCCTGATTTTTCTCAAAGCATGGAGGAAGTTTGTGTCCTTCCTCCGTGCTCAAAGCAGTGAACACCCAGAAAGTGCATCGGGCAAACAGAATCACGATTCTGAGCTGGAAACTCAAAATTGAGTCGTAACACGATGGCAAGACTTGGTACATTTTAGTTTCCGTGTAAGAACAGGAATAGTACAAGTTCAGAGTTCACACTGGTTTGACCTGTGGGTATGACGTTCACGTCAGTATGTGCACGTGCACTCGTTCTACGCTTATCAAGCAGCGCACAAACTGGCATTGTAAACTGAACTGTGAACTAGATAGCATTGTGTTTTGCACACCTGTACCGCGGGGGGCAACAGGTGAGGCGTGAACCGTGAATGCGCTGGTACGATTTTGGTTTTATCACTGGAGGCCATAATACGGTATTAGCTGCACCACACACTTTTGATCCAACAGCTCCCAGATCACAAGCTGCTGTCATGAGTTTTGGCGAGCAAATCCAGGCGATGATGCCGGACTTGATCAACGGCAAAACCCACCAACAGCTGGAAGAGGAGTTGGTGGCCCGCGAAAAAATGATGGGCAATCATGTCGTGGACGGGGTGAAGTTGCCGTTTCAAGCAGTGAAGTCGAATCTGGAGGCCTTGCAGACTTTTGAGGTACGCGACGATGACGTGTTCGTCGTCACCTATCCACGATCAGGTAAGCGCCGTCTGATCTTCATGGCACTGCGCACACTGGCTACTCGATCAAATCTGGGGAGGGAACCAGTCTCAACCGCAAACGTCAGTTAGTTTAAGAAAAATCTTCATAAATTGTTCAAGGACTTGTGAAAAAATGGATGACAGTGGAACATGAAACCAATAGATGAAGCTTATTTTCAGCTCATGATGCATAATGAACGAGGAAACAAGGGAACAAAGAGAAGTGTCCTTGGAAAAGGGAAGTTGGAGAAGTTGTTTAAAACTGAATGATTCGGAAAGTATTGTGTACTCTTTTCTCAAAATGTTTCAAATACACCTTTGCATTTCTTAACTATTGCTAACAACATGGAGGCATAAGAACAGTTCTTATTCCTCCGTGCTAAGAGAAAAACTACATACATTATGCTTCATGATTCCGGATGACCATGTAGTCAAACAAAATCCTCGATTGGTCCATTGTAGGCACTCACTGGGTGAGTGAAATACTGCAGTATATTCTCCAGGACGGGAGGGGAGATTTCGATCGTACTTTCATTACTACCGGTTTGGAATTCACACGGGCAGAGGAACCCAAGAATATCGAAAGTACGACCCCCGGATACAAGATATACGCTGCCATGAAGTCGCCGAGACTCATGATTAGCCACTGCTTGGAACAGTTTCTGCCGCCTCAAGTCTTGACGAAGCAACCTAAGGTGAAGTTTCTGTCGCTGGTCATTTCATTCGGTGATAAATGTGGCTTGAAACCTGTATTTGAATCCACCTATTATGCACAGTCTTTTCTGTCTTTTTTTTTCAAAGGTTGTGTATGTAGCCCGAAACCCAAAGGACACCCTCGTGTCTTTGTCCAAGATGGTGCCGTTCTGGAATTTCAGTGAGCTGCTCTGGGCTTTTTGCCCCGGCAAAAGTAAGTTCCAGTGAGAGTGCCGTTTCTGTTCTGGTTCTAAAGCAGTCTAGTTCCACAGGTCAGGTTCTGCATCTTAAGTGCTATCTTCCTCCTTTGCCTTACACGTTTTCTGTTCCTTTCCAAGCTTTTATAGTAATATCTTCTTTACCATTTTCTCAGCAAATTAAGTTCCAGGACTTAATTGAACAATTTTTTTTTGTGGCACCAGGAAGTATACCGTCAAGTTTCAAACTACTGCCATGCAGTTACCTTCTTGGAAATACGTCGTAAAAAACGTCAAAAGCTCGTTGACTGCTCTATTGTTGTAGGTCTACTATAGCTCCCAATAAGTGAAGCTACGCACTGGTTCCCGAACCATCCATTGGAATCTGGGGGGGACCAGTCTCAACTGCAAACGTCAGTGAGTTTAAGAAAAATCTTCATAAATTGTTCAAGGACTTGTGAAAATGGATGACAGTGGAACATGAAACCAATAGAAGAAGCTTATTTTCAGCTCATGATGCATAATGAACGAGGAAACAAGGGAACAAAGAGAAGTGTCCTGGGAAAAAGGAAGTTGGAGCAGTTGTTTAAAACTGAATAATTCGGAACGTATTGTGTACTCTTTCCTCAAAATGTTTCAAATACACCTTTGCATTTCTTAACTATTGCTATTCCTTCCTTTCTTCATCCTTCATTTTCCCTGTATCATTTCCAGCGACATTTGGAAGTTGGTTCGACCACGTGCTCAGCTACTGGAAACGGCGAGACGATAGAAATTTTCTGTTTGTGAAGTACGAAGATTTCCACAAGGTGCGTGAGAGACACTTTGCTCGATTAGAACCAATCCACCAGTGCTGGTCTTAAAGGTGGTGTACACCATTGGTAACATCCCGACAATCGGACTACCGTATAATCCTGGAATATCTTAATTGAAAGAAAGTACACAATAGTCTCAATCAGCCTGTGAAATATTCTGAATTCTGTATTTTTGAGAAAACCAAAAATTTTGTTCTCTTTTATTACGACGGTCGGCCGACCGTCGTAATAGAGTTAAATTCACTTCGCACAGCACATTCCTATTATGTAGTGTTTGCAGATGTCGTGGGAGTCTTCATTAATGGACGGGTAAACCTAAAAGCAGCTAAAAATATACTGACAATTCTTTCACCGAAAACACTGTGAACTGAAATTATAGAAACCTGAGTGTTAGGCGTAAAGTAGAAAATAAATTGGATCCGTGTGAAGTTGAAGTTTATTGAAGGAAAGGTTTTTTAAACGGAAAACTTTGCGAATTCAAAACCACCCCTAGATAATAATAGTATGATTCAATATGGTGGCTGTTTCCGAGCACGATGATTTTCGTCAACAAAAAGTACGATTTCCACACGTTGTTAATCCTCCCTTATTTTAAGACATAATTTTTTTTTCTTGTAATTATTAATGACTGAACTATGAATGGTGTTTTAGACTTTCATCGACGTGCGAACTGACATTATGAACACGATCGCGCGCACATGCATTGTCATATAGGCCCCCTCGTTTCGATGTCACGGACACGAGTTGACTGCTGTGTTCCTGGATGAACTTTTTCCATGAATCCGCAGTGCAACATTGTCGAGGAGGCGCATTACTCCAAGGTAAATTCACTGATTACTCCTAGCCGTTGAAAACTGCTCCTTTCTTTAAGGGAATGAGAACCTGACATGCTTGTTTCCCACCCTGACCCCGTGGACGATGTACGCTTGTACTACGAACGCCCTATAATCTATAGATTTTACGCAAGATAAACTGCAAGACCTTCAATTTAAGCGTTGAAAATGCCGCGCTGTTTTTCTCAATTTTTCACAAAGCACTTGACTCAATCATAAAAACAAGTGAGTGGAATGTAAGTTGCAGTGAATACTACACACCGTAATCAGCCAATCTTGTGAAATTACAACAAAAAACCAATGGTGTACACCACCTTTAAGAAGGAAGAACTCGAAGGATATCCATATTGAGGTTAATATTGTCACGACCATCACTCCCTGTAAGTCAAGTATTGATGCAGTGTTTTGGGTCAAAAAAGTGTAGTTATTCCCTTGACGTCTACACCTGGGAGCATGAATGCACCTTGCATACCTTATTTTTGCCACACTAATACTGGGAATGGTCATTAGAATTTGGATCATTATTCCCCAGGACCTTAGGGGGTCCATTTGCAAACTCGCCAAGCATGTCGGGAAGGATCTACCTGATGACGTCATCGATTGCATTACGGAGCGCGTGACCTTTAACGCAATGCAGAGGACCTACCAACAACTGGAGGACGAGGGTGGGAAGGAAGGGAAATTGCTAGCTAGTTATAAGGGAAGAAAATTCATAAGGAAAGGTAAAATACAGCAAGGAAAGAAATTTAAGCAAGGTGTCAAATATTGAGGTTGGTCTATTTTCCACTTAACCGAATACTCTCAATTTACCCTCAGAGTATGAGGTCCAAGTAGAATGAGTTCATTTAATGGATAGTTTTTTATTAAGCGAGTATCTTTTACGATTAGTTGGACTGCTTTGGCCCGTCAAAGCAAAACCAAACTAACGAAAGTTACTTAATTCGTAGTTGGCCAACTGTATTGATGATATCGAAGTTGAAAAAAGTGAGATGGGTAGAAAGCCCTTACGAAACCATTTCATCTAGAAAGATGTCCCAGCACCGTTGACAAGTTCGACTGTCTTTCATTTTCAAAACAGGACAAGTTGGAGATTGGAAGAACACCTTTACGGTGGCGGAGAGCGCCCTCTTTGACAAGATTTACGCCTTGAGAATGAAAGGGACCGGCTTGGACTTTGACTTTGAGCTTTAAGGCCTCGGGATAAAGCAATCTACAACACGCTCCTGAAATCAGTCTGCTCTTTTCTGTTGGTTTACTAGTTAATTGTTGTCGTCCAGCTGTGGTAGTAGTTGAAGTGGAGTACTTTTTCCAGTGTCGTAGTGGAAAACATTTCCATGACCTAGTTGAAGTGGAGTACTTTTCCAGTGTTGTAGTGGAGAACATTTCCATGACCTAGTTGAAGTGGAGTACTTTCCCAATGTTGTAGTGGAGAACATTTTCATGACCTAGTTGGAGTGGAGTACTTTTCCAGTGTTGTTTTATAGTGGAGAACATTTCCATGACCTAGTTGAAGTGGAGTACTTTTCCAGTGTTGTAGTCGAGAACATTTCCATGACCTAGCTGGAGCGGAGTACTTTTCCAGTGTTGTAGTGGAA